AAAGTTAAAATAATGTCAATTTAAAAAGTACGCAAAAATAAGAATTGTAGGACATGTAGACAATATATATAGACAGTTGCAAGTCACATACAGTCCAATACAAAAATGCCAGAACAATGTATTAGAATATTAGAAATTATGCGTTAAAAATTCCCTATGACTGAGAAAAACAGGTGGAACAATTTTATAAACCTTACTCCTCTGTAATTATCATTTTTTCTAAAAGTTCATTGCTTCAAATATTGGATACAGCTTTTTATTACAAGTCTTAAATTTTTGGCAGAGATCTTACGGCTCATACAACTTTAACATCGTGGAGAGCAAGATACTAGGAGATCCAGTAATATTCCTTTAGTTTGTCGACGTTTTACGAGACGTTTCAGCCCACTCCTCCTTTTAAAAGGACTCGCTACGAGTATGGAATATGTCCATATTGAATTAGGCTCTTCTCCCGTTTTTTTTCTCCATAAAAAAGGAGTGATCGATGGCGCGAACAGATTTTGTCAGGCGGCTGGAGATCACATCGAACAATCGTATCGCGCAAATGATTGGAACTATTAACAGATAGAAAGCGAACAAATCGTTCAGCGACCCCCCCCACCCCACCCCCGCCCCCGTTATCTCGATTGGTACAACGCTTCTGACGTATTCGCGTCAGACTGAAATTCGCAAAATAAACGCGATTCTTTCTGTGTGACGCATACAACGAACCGCTGTGTATGTATTTCGATCAAACAACGTTCGGTTATGTTTGAGATTGAAAAAAGTGTACCCGATGGAAAATCGTGACGAAAGTCAACACGGAGCGAGATACAAGCGTCGCGTACGACAGCATAATAAAAGGATATTTTCCATTGCGATTTTTCGATTAAGCGTTATTCATCCGGTATTTTTTCGACAAACAAACCAACTGCGTTACGCGTTCCTAGATTATTATTTTTTTTCCATATCGTGTACCGGTGATTGTTTTATATTAATTTTCATTGTTTGCTGGTCGGTCGGATGTGCGTAAACAGAATGATATAATAAAGGTAGCGATGAACATCGGAATGGAAATTGAAGGTGAAAAATAGCTGGTGCGGGTAAACAATGTAAATCGAAATTGTTCTCTTTTGTGAGGGAACTGATTTTATGAAATTTACACAGATAAATTGATGCATGGGCGTCGGCTGTTAAATATTAACTGTCGATAGCTTGATAATGTATCAGTTTCTTTATACGACACGATCTTAAGGAAATCCGAATGTATTTGACCAAGTATCTACACGTACAGCTAGTAATAACGAAATTGAGCCAGCTACGTGCATGTGTTAGTCTCCTCTAGGGGGACAAAATTCAAAATGAGTAATAAATCAACATCTTATTTTTTCGATGCTCGATCTCGTATTGATATTGTTGGATTTTAACATAATTTTGACGCGTCAAAATAAAAATAATGTTAACGTATTACTCGTTTTGAATTTTGTCCCCCTAGAGGAAACTAACACATGCACGTAGCTGGCTCAATTTCGTTGTTACTAGCTGTACGATGGCCGTTTCACAAGTTGCTTCACACTATTATGCGTTGCTTGAATGCAGTCGAAAATTACTGCGACACTGTTTTATTTGAATATAAATTGCAAGGATCCGGTCGGGACGAGGAAGACGATCCAAGGGTGGCAGTGCGTCAGAAAAATTTTCCGTCCTTCGCTTAATGCACGTTTTTATGGCATCGTTCGCGCTCAATTGATGTTCGAGCAGGATTAAAGAGAGTAGAAAATCAGGTTCGTGAGGTATGACCTGCCGCCTCATTTGATTATCTTATTGTTAAACCGATACGCACATATGAAGGAATAATAAAATTGTGAGATACGTATTAACGTTCCGAGTAAATCCGGATTTA